AAAGTTCCAATGTAGAAAATGAACGAACTTAATCTTCCAAATGATTCCGAAATTTTAATAAAAAATCGACTAAGCCGACTAAGCCGATAAAATTTTATCGGCTTAGCCAGTCGAAAAATTTTGATCGGCCAGGATCACTACTGGTCTTATCGAGGACCAGACCGGACTGATCCATCCCTATGTCGTGTTAATAAAAAAAATTTAATATATGTATAATAATAAATAATAATACTGGATTGTAATAATCAGGGCCACGTTCATGCTAAAATGTATTCAGCAGAGTTTAGCAGAGTTTGTCTACTTATTCTATAGAATATCCTTCCTGATCTGTTTCTTGAGGGGGTAATCCTTCAGGAGAAATGCATCAAAATCGATAAATTCTGCATGATTTAAAAAAAAAATTTCTTTACAAAAAAAAATAGACCATTTTCTATGATTTGTGTCACAAATTTTCGTAGTTCCGCTGCAAAATCTACATGCATATAATTTCATAATAAAAACGCATAATTTATATGAAGTGTTAAATATTTAGGGTTGTGAAATTACTGTAAGATTTCATCGTAATTTTATCACATGATATTGAATAGTTTATTTAAAATCAAATAAATCCAATGAGGCCAAAATTTATGTAATCCTGGTTACGTGAAATTCGATTTACTGAAACTTACGTAATGTAAGATTGTAATTGTCGTAACACAACCTTAAATATGATATCAGTTATTGGTTTTCTACATCAGACCCAACTCTAGTCAACTAAACTAAGTCAATTTTTTTTTAAAATCGACTTAATCGATTAAGTCGATTTTATCTACTTAATGCCAATCGACTATAATCATTAGTTAAAATTTGATTTATTAACATCAAAAAATTAATAATGTCAACAAAGTTTTTTAATAATAAATTTTTGATAATACATCAGAAGGTAACAAAATTTCACCAAACTTTCAATTTACTAGCTTTTGTTCTACCGATAATTCCAATAAATACTAAACCTGTAGCTAATAACCAAACCCAAAGATGATCAAATTGTGATCTGGTCCAATCAACTTGAGTACCTCCAAGGGCGGTAACATAAATTAAAGTTAATAAAAAATATCCAGAAAATCTATGATATTTATACATTCTTACTGCCTTTGCTGGACCTCCGACAACACCGGGAAAGTTGACCAATGTTGAGCCAGCAATAGCTTGGATTAGAATAAAAGAAAATGTAAGCAACCCAGCTTTTCCATGAGCAGATGTGACTGTAATTAATATAAAAAAGAATTAAATAAAATTACATATAAAAAAAAATAAGAAAAGAAAAGAAATAATGCGCACAATGATCTTTTCCAAGATTATTTTTATGAGTAATAATAATCGTAAATCCAGCAATGGCACCTAAGAAAACAATTGTTTGAAACAATTTATGCCAATTAAGTCCAACGTCTCTTTCTTCTTTTTTTGCAGTTGTTTGAAGAATAAGGGTGCCTAAGTCAGAAGAAGAAGAATTATTTAAGATAAAATCGA